TCACCACTAAATCCGTGTGCAGGAACCAATTACGTGTGCCTTTGGAGGGTGGGCATGCGCACGTGGGCATGGGGCCTTTTTCAACCCATTCCTGAGAACTCGCCAATGCTGTGGAGAAGACCTGCCTTCAGAGTGACCTTCTCAACCTGGCATGATCCAGCTCACAGAGCAAGTGCTGGCTACATCAGACACCCCCAAATTAGCTTTCGCAACTGCTTCCTCCATGTTTGATTTCAACAGCGTGAGTCAACAGAGTCTAACATCATTATGTACTTCAGTTGCTCTGGCAGGAGGAAAAAAAAGAGGTCCCCCAAGGAGAAGGGGACCTTGGGAAGGATTAGTCAACCAAAAGAAATTTTCAGATCTGCATATTTTGCTGATATACTTCAGGCAACTAGCTTCATACATTAGCCTACAACCCTTTATTTGAGTTTCATAGGTTTGTGTTTATTTGCTTTGCATTTTCATCGACATTTAATTGCCTAGGGAACTGTTTCTGAAGCTGGGCTTATTTGTATTTAGTATTGATATAATGCCACCCCAGTAAATGGCACGGCAGAGATGAGTTAAAACAGCAGGTCTTTACTCTAAAAAAATGAAAAATAACAAGCTAGCCCCACTTTACTGCATTGACTAGACAAAATATAGTTCAGAACAAATAAATGTACAGGAAGGACTGAAGCAGTTCCCAGTCACCTTTCAAATTCATACCTGTTTAGTATAAGACGACTTCTTCTAGGCTAGTACGCAACATAACATAAAGCTTGCTCTTTGCCTGTTATTTATTTTTAGTGGCTGATGGGAAAAGTGAGACTAGCAGACATCGTGCAACCTGACAACACAAATAAGCCCCTGAGAAAACTGAAGCTGGCAAACAAACAGCCCATGTACAGCATAAAGACAAATTCTTCAGGAAAATGCAGGTTTTTTAAGGACAAGGGTTTTAACACCCTGAACTCACAGACTACTTTAATTTACGGGGGTCAGAGAATTTTGCACAAAGTCTCTGGCACAGCCCATTAATGGCTTTGGAATAAGCAGATTTGTACTAGAGACATCATAAAGCCAGACAGCAGAAGCCCAGATGATTTGTAATTTTACAGCAACAACCAAAATCAGGTTTCATGAATACACATCACTTATTTTTTTATTTACTATTATTTCTAATGACATTTATTAGAAATAATGTTCCCTATTAAAGGATAATGTAATTCACAGACTGCCACATGGATGTAGTTATGAATCTTTTCAAAACCACTCATGCAAAATCTGCACAAGTTCAGTGACGGCTAATGGTTCAGGAGGATCCCCAAAGGAGCATGCCAGAATTCTCTAACAAGAGAATACAAGACATTAGAAAGTGGGACTACAGAGCTGAAAGCTGTACGAAAACAGCTTGGCCTCTATGTGTGAGGGCTGCAGCAACTGAAAATCCATGTTTCTTGTTCTTTCAGGTCCCAATTCCCATTTCAAGTCATGTTGTGCTCAAGGCAGGATCTAACAGAGTCACCCTTTTGTTTGACTTTTTATTTTCAGGGTCCTGTGAAAGGGTGTAATTTAGAGCAAGGCGTTTTGGATATGGTTCAGATTACCTTTTGCTAAAGCCTTCAACAATGGCGGAACAGTCTCACTAGAAATAACATGACAAGTTTTTTATAGGTATTATTAAATGCCTAAGGATGAGAATTATAGCCATAAAAACACTTTGTATTTGAACTGAGATTCTCTCCCAAGCTGTTGCATACTACTGAAACCAAGGATGGCTTTTATAAGGGGAGAAGCAATTAGGGACACTGAAATGTCATTTTAGTTGGCAGACTAACTGTCTGGCCGCCTGTGCAATACACCATTTGCACTTCCCATATTATAATAAAAATTATGTATATTGAGGTATTTAATAGGCAATCATACAGGAGAAAGTGTTTATTCCACAAGCAGACTAGCAGCTTTCTCAGCAAGTTTCACAGACACAGAAACGGAGAGGAATGAAAGAGAGTGTTTTCTTTTCATGTAAAAGGTCATAAAACGCTCTCACTGGGACTTTATTCAGCTTCACCATTTGTCCCTGAAACTGTCATATCCCAAATCAAGGGTTGCTGAAGACACAGCGGATAAAATGTCAGCCAAGGACTCCACCATGGCATGGCCAGGCAGAAACTAGAGAGAGGCACACACACCACCAGCTAGAATCTGGACAGGGGACAGACTGAGAATTCAGGAAGTTTAGAGATTAAAAATATGCCAAGATTTCATTGTCTTTCTGTCCCATCAGAGCAAACAGTTCTGAATTTGGCCACTAAACTTCACCTCCTCAGGCACTTTGCCCGTGTTGACTTGTTTCCCGTGATTTGCCCGCTGTCCAACACTCTGCTCACACAGACAAGTCCTACAAGACAGACTTCTGCTTTCCCTGGGCCTTAGCAGCAGAAATGCTCTGCCTGTGACTAAGCCCTATATTTCACACACAGGAAATGCATCTCCCATATCCCTGCAGCTAGCTGCCTGTGCATCTGTGCAGGACTTTTCCACTACAGGCAGCATTTCTTGTGAGAACTCAGCTGTGGAACAAGTAACACTGCATGCATGATGATGGCTTTGGCATTTGGTAGCCAAGGAGAATTGTTAGCACAATCTGTATGTATTGCATGCTTTCAGAGCCAGGTGAGATGCTTTTGTGTGCCTGATCCTTCATGCAAGCAAAGCGCAGAACGTTGTAACCAGGCAGTACCTTAATTCCCAGGACCCAAACCGCATGTCTGAGCACTTCTGAACTCTTTCTGGAATTCAAATGCAAATCTAAATGGTAGCTTTTGCTCTTAACTTCCCGCCAGACCACAGTAAACCCCTAGATCTGAACACATAGAAGTCTAATACCTCCAGTCATGCTTCATCCATCCTGACACTACAGAATTATCACAATGCAATTCGCTGTATTTCCGAGTGAGACGTCAGCACATCTGCTCACATGTGGCACTTGAGGCTGAACCTCACACCCAACACCAGGAGCAACGGGAAGGTTAAAGAACTCCGATGCTTGCACAGACCAGCATCTTGCTGGTGTCTGCTTGTGGCTTGAGGAGGACGGGATCTGAGGATGGCCACATGCTGCCATCCGCACCATTGTGAAGCCGAGCACAGGGCCGCATGGCACAAAGGGCTCCAGGAGCCACAGCAGCTCTGGAGTCAGACGAACCCTTCCCTGGGGACTGGGCTGGCTGCCCTGCTCCAGTCATGAAAGCCGCAGTGTTGTCCTGCACATTAAGAGATTCATTGGTGAACTAAGCAGAATTCAATTTCTGTTGGATCTTATTGACTTAAAGCAAACCCAAATGACCTGAATTTTTTCAAACATTTTTTCGTCTTTAATTTTCAGACAGACAACAAACTTAGAAAGATGACATAATACTTCAAGTGAAGTGAACCAGCAGACAGAACATACTAGGAACTTCTTTCATCCTCTGCACTGGTGGAATTTGTCTCACTCCTGCAAATGTGCAGAGTCAATTAGATATACAAATATGCACACTCAACATTTGCATTTGCCTTGCCGTGCTTCTATTCACAGCCATGGCAATCATGTATTCTGGTGACCGGTTAGATTTTGAGTCGGCTCATTGTGCATAAAATCTCAGAAACTGTCTCAGAAAATGAAGTGAGCATTTTTGTGTATGTATTTTGTGTATGTGGGCATGCAATTCCAAAAGTCTGTGTCTGCATGACCAGCGTCTGAATGTTTGCCTAGCTTGTAAGACTCGGTATGTCTCTGCCACCTACATCCATGCTTACTTTACCTATAAGCCTACAGTTTGAATTGCAGGCATATTTAGGATTTTGTGAAGGCGCAGGGAAAGCATCGCTGGTGCAATCATGTGTATCTCATTTCCAGCATGCAAAATCTTCCATCTGCAATGGCAGTAGCCCACAGGCTGAGGCTACCAAAATTGAGTGTGTTTTGCAATTCCCATTAATTATTTTGCAGCCTTTTCTTCAAATATTTACTGTGAAGTCTAGGGACATTTGTCTTTTATATCCGTATGTCCAGACAGCATAAAAGATTTCAAAAAATGCCCACAGTTCAGTTACATTTCGCGTTAGTCTAGAAATGCAGAGAGCTCATGTTTAGATTTTATCAAGAAAAGAGATAGCAAATGTCAAAGATAGTACTGAAAGGAAATGAAACAAATAATTCCAAATACTTGTTTAAAAACTTACAAAATATGACAGCATTAATGGCACTTAAAGCTATAAGCACTTAAAAGATTACCACCATATTTTTCTCAACTTCTTTTCCTAAATTACTTTTCACTTTTTTTTTTTTTTTTCTGAGATTATGACTGTAGTTTACATCTAAACCCAAACCCAGCAAAAGGGACAGAGAGCCCTGAGATTCTATGGTAGCTCTGGCCCACATCTGAATAGTGTATATGCTCTTATATCTATTTTTAAAAATTCAGATTCAGCTACAGAGAACAGAAGTTGGCTGACATGCAAAAGCTATAGCTTTCCTTCTGTCTTCATAGTCTTACAGCATTAAAATTGAAGGTTTTTTTGTCAGTGGTAGAAAGTGTGAATGAGAAATTCTTTAAAAAAACTGAGTTGGCCTACTATTTTATACACCTAGCCAAATATCATTAAGTTAATGTTTCTCTTCTTTTAAATAACATAGCACGAGATGTTGCATTTTCTTCATATGCACTTTCTTGCTGTGACTTTACACTGAATATTTCCTACACAAGAAAAAAATCCATTTGCTTCTTTTCTTTTTTTTTTTTTTCTGTCACTGGTTAAGGTAAGTACCCATGGAGGTTTTTTTCTTTTTTTTTTTTTATGAAAAGAGCAATCCAACCCTTAAATATGTCTGTGTTGATTTTCCAAACCAGCACCCAGCTGGTGGCTGTGTCCATGGACATTCTTTTGGAGTTTAGAAAGATAATGCATCTGATTCAAAAATGAAAAAACAAAACAAAACAAAACCCTAGCTTGGATCACGTGCCAAAATGTAAACTAAGCCTTACTGAAAGTTTCTGGTTCATTCCAATAATTTCTCCTCTTTTTAATCACCAGGGGAAGGCTTTATGGAGGCATACTCCATTACAAAGGTACACTCTTCTTCATCCCTTTCAAAGGCTCTTCTTACATCGCTGCCCTTTGTCTAATATTATACCATGCACTGGTGATACAGCCATGGTTCAAGCTCTTCCTTTGTGTCTCGCCCTGGGAATCTTATACAGGCTGAAATTTCCATGTGCGTAGCTTTCTGTTGCCATTCTGCAGTGCTGTGTTCCTGATTTGTTTTGGCAGAGCAAGCTTGAGTCTTCATGGCACAGTGAAATATTCTTCAATGCTATATAATTCAGACTGAATAAGGAGTCTGTTTAAGGCACGTGTCTCAATATATATATGTATATAAAACACTAACATTGTTAATTCAAGTCAAGCATCTTTTACATTTAATTTCTGTCTTCAAGTAACGCTTTGTTTCCATGTTCCCTTTCTTTGGTTTCACTGGGGATCACTCCGTTCTCCAGGTCTGAGTGCTGCTGGATGCAGTTGGTCAAGACTGCAGTGCTAGAAGTGTTCTCAGAATTACACATCTTCTCTGTCTCCTCTTCCTTTTTTTCTTCATCCAAGGAGTAGTTTCGGAAGGTCTCGTAAATTTTACGCACATCCTCAGGGATGGTCTTTTTGAGGTCTTTGTTTTTCCTTTTGGTCATCTTAGCAGATGATCCAAATTTGTTAATGATGTTGTCCTCGGATGCTCCCTGCCCGTGCTTGTTGAGCTGATCTGACCCTTTAAGGCGCAGGTTATTAGGCCTGTTGTTGATGCTTTCCTGAGATGAGGCCTTGAAGCGTCCCGTTTCCAAGGCAGTAAAGACAGAGCGCTTCTCTGGAGAGAGCATGTCTAAGGAGTGGGCTCGCTGGTCCAGGCCCAGACGCCTGCGCTCCATGCTCCGGATGGTGGCTGCCCGCTGAAGTTTGTCGTGGATCTCCACGCTGAGCCGCCTCCGTGTCTCTCTGAACTCAGCCGTCACATTTGCTTTCCACTCTGCTGCATGGGCTTTTATTTCTCCAACCTTTACAACATCAGGAAAGAGAAATTAATTTTTTTAAAAAAGGCAAAATAAAGCGACAGTCTTTTCTACAGAACAGCAGCGCAAGCATTTTATTTTTAGTCCCAGCTCCCGTGCATCCATCTGGACCCAAACTTCAGCAGCAACATGGTTATACTGGGCAAGCTCTAAGCACACCAGCTGGTGACTAGCTAATGGCTTACGTGACATTTTGCCACTCCACACATTGTATAGCTGTTACATGATAAGAGGTGTTCATGCTAATCCCTCCTTGGTTAAGAACAAATTTCCTGACCTACAATGTCAGAAGTATATGGTCAGGAGTGGGCAAAATTAATCACATATAGTTATACCAATAAGCTTCAGAACAGCACCACAACCAATGTAGCAATACACTAAAGTATTTTCCCATATTGCTCATGGATGGAACTGTTCACACCCACTGAAGGTTCTGTTCAGTGCCACAGAGCCACCGAGCAGTTAACGTTGGAAATACCTACTAGAAAATTTGAAGTGGGCCTCTGACTGATCCAGTCTAGGGTTCATTCTCAGAGGCAAATGTAACTGAGAATGAATGGAGGTTTCCATTGCATAACTGTCCAAATACCACCCTCTCAAGCCAGCTGCTGTATTGAAGAAATATTTCTTTCGAAATCAGAAAAAAGAAGATAAATGACCAAGCATTGTTTCAGTCAACACAGGCCTTTTCCAAAGTTCAGCTAAAGGAGAATGGATTCAGGAGTACGATGTCTGCAGGAGGTCACCAAGGCCAATGGTTTGCTTGGGCTGCTGTAGCCAGAACTCAGTTCTGCGTTCAGTGATACACAAGGAAGTCATCTTTGGTTCCTCAGGCCAGATGAGAAGGTGTCCATTTAAAACTGCATGACTTGTGGCAGCAGCCATCTCACACCCACCATGAGAGATCAGATTCCTACCTATAGGTGCCGGATGTTGATCAACCTGACAGCCAAACTCTCTGTGAAGGTGACTTTATTAATGGAGATGCACAGGGGTTGCACCAGGACTCAGGTAGCACACATGCCTTCATACATGATAAACAGCACTACCCTTCTGCCAAACGTGGTCTATGGCTGCTCTTTGGCTAACCCTGCCAGGTTAGATTTGCTAGAAATACAGGAGGACATAGCCTTAAAAACTGAAATTATATTATTAACATCTTCCACAATAGGCTTCAGTTCTGGAGTCATGGCAATTGCCTTCTGTTTTCCACCCTTATTTGAGTGATGTATTAGCAATACTATCTTTGAATCATGGAGGCCGTGATCTGAGTGAATTTAATCATGTTCTCCTTGATGCTGAGTACTCAGTTTCTTCAATTTTTAATAATATGGTACTTAGTAAGGGGTCTGAATTGAAACCTTTATGCAGAACCATACTCCCTGGCACAGGGAAAGGTGGGAAAATCTTTAACTCCTGGCTTAAAGGCAGATTCTTGTTTCATAATGAAAATACCCAACTAATGTCTTTAAAACTCATACATCTCCAATTTTTAAAGAGAGAACACTGAAATTCTTATCACAATTCTGTAGCTAATTTCAGAGTGAAGGCTGACCTGCTGCAATACTACTGATGTGCTCTGTGTATTCGGTAGTACTGCTAGAGATTAACAACCTAGGTTGCTTCAGGGCACTATTCCTCCCTTTGTGAAGTAGCTAAAGATTGGAGGTAACTGGATACCAACGGCAGCCAGTGGAGTAAACCACGGAGAATATTGAGCAATGGTCATGTAGAGGTGCATCCTTCTTTAGACAAGCAGGAATCAGGCACTTAGAGCTCTCTTATGACAAACCACTGAGAAATTACTAATCATACCTCTTCTTTTGTCTTCTCGGACAGGACTCTTAACCAGTCTCCAATCATACTCAGGACAGCAGCAAAATAGGCGAGGCCAACAAGGATCCAGAACCACACTAAGGGCTTATACCACTCCCGGTAATGGATGTCAGCATTTCCTCCTGAAATGAGCATATACTTATGCTTAGGAATCATGAGATACAAATTTGTGACAGAATATCTGCAATTCTGAGACATTTTTGAAAGCATTTCTTGACTCCTGCCAACACCACTGTAGTTCTAATAACAGACAAGAGGCTTGTCAGATGGGAGGGACACAGTCTGTTCTTAAGATTCTTCAAAACTGCCTATTGTTCTGCTGCTTTGTGACCTGCCAAAGCACCGAGTAAACACTTTTCTTTATGTTGCTCATACTTTGAAGCTAGTCTAAAATTCCTGCTTTGATAGTACTTGCAACAGCATGAACACATTTCCAAGAAAAAAGTTTAATACAGCTAGTCTTCCTTAGTCTTCCTTATTCTGATCTGCCTGAAACCTGGTAGTTGAGAAACTTTACAGTTGCAACCCCCTCAGCTTATAGAGTTTCCAGATTTTTTGGGTTTAGCTACATCATTGAGAGACCTATGTGAAGGAGAAAGAAAAGTAGCTTTTCTGCCCCTCCAAATCAGGATATCTAACAGGAAGCCAACCGTGCTTCAGCCCTGATAATATGGATATATTGTCTGCTCAGATATCAGTTATAGGGGTGCATTCTCTGGTCAGTCCCTTAAGAGGAGATAAGGATCAAATGAACCAACAAATGTCCTATATGGTCTTCATGCAAGTCTCAGGATGAGTGGGTAAAGCAAGTATGTGAGATATTTGACAGATCTAATGGACTACAAAGAGCCTAAAATAAATGCAATAGCAGCCAGGCTGCTGCCTACCACAGAATAGAATAAACTTTTCCAAAAGAAAGCAACTACAAATTCACTTTTGAGAGTCTCAGTCTTATCACAGTGGTATGTGCACTGCATGAATGAGAGCCAGTGAGAGGTGGGCACAGACCTGAGCTGAACAGAGCAAGCAGCAGAGTCTGCCCAGTCCTGTGGGCACAGCCATACCCCTCAATGCAGGTGAACAAACAGCACCTTGGTGGTACCTGTGTAAGTCTCTGCCTGAAAAGCAAGCCCACCAGGGGACGCAGGCAGACGACTGCATATTCCCTGGACTCCAGCTTTGGTTAGACAAGAGCTAGACACCAACCTGTATCTCTGTAGGACTAGAGAGATATTTTAGGATTTTGCCCCATTAAAATCACCAGACAACACAGCTCAGTATTTCCCCTTCAGCCTTTTGCAATCTGAGACATTTCTCTGACTGTTTCATTTTATTCAGACTGAGAATGAGTATATGTACGGTGTTCAAACATCCCCATGGAAGGTCAGACATTTGAGAATTGGCAGGGACCCAAATACTGGGTTTGATGTTAATCTCTTCCCATAGACTGCGTGACTCACTCCCTTTTTTCCAGTCTTTAAGAGTGTGAAACAATGGGAGGTGGGGGCTGCTGTTGCTATGGTACAACGAGGCTCTGATGATACGTGTCCCTGAGGAAGCTTGCTGTGAAACAGATTGTCTAGGTCTATCTTACAGAGTAATCAGGCGACTGAGAAAGTATGAGACCACTTTTTTCAGCCTATCAGATAATCCTTTTTTTCAGGCTCCATCTACAATTGTATCTCCAACAGCAGTACAAAAAACCTGTCCAGTTTGCCAAGAGCTAGGACATGTTCTAGGTGGAATAAATCAGCATAGCTCCATTGATGCTGTTTTACCCAATACAATGTAGTAGTTTTGATGTGATGTTGAAGGGACAGAGAAATGAGAGATTAAAGTGACAGAAAATATAAGTGACAGAAAATCTGTCTCAAAACCAGCAATAAAACCCAAATCTCCTGGTGATCACCTGCCTTAAACTCTTATCATGAGACTGTCTCTGAAGTTTTCTCATTCAGGGTCCTCCATTTGATTTTTGAAAAATCCTGAGGTTTAAAAGTCACCCAGCTGTGGATTATATTCTCCTAATCATGTTGGATATAAAATAATCTAATATTCAGAGCTTTTTTACTAATGTATTATTAAAGAAAACAATACTGAAGTGTGATACACTTAATAAAATTTTAGTGAATTATTTTTATTTCACACTGTGATACCACAAAGACAGAACACCAGTCAGCTGCTTTTCACATTTAAGTGGTTAAAATGGACCAAGCTCATACAATCACTTCTGTATCTGAATGCTTGTAAAACACTTCTTTTTCATATCTGGGGCTCTCTTTGTTCAGTGCCTTTTTTTCCTCATTAATTCATGTCTTCTATACCACAATGTCATAAAAAAGGAGGATTAGGGTATTCTTTACAAAAAGACTTGTCTCCAGCTCTTCAGCAAAGAAAACTTTATATATCCCTGTAGTTTCATTTGATGTTTTTAACTCATTCATATTTCACTGATGTATAGGAAGTAATACAACAGTAGCATAATACGGCTGTTTGTAACACAGGCATCTTAATGCCTTTAATCAGACCACTAACACGAATGAGGAGTAGAGGTCATGCACTAATGGGGAAAGAAACCCACTTTATTTTAACCACCTTGTCGTTAGCAAAGCAGTTGTGTGAAAAAAAATCTCCCATCTCTCCAGCCAACAATCTTGATTCCCTCTTTGGAAATTGATATGGATGGATATGTATAGTTTCTGCTAGTACTGTATTAATCTTGGAGAATATACTCCTAGCACTGAGATGCATAGCCCACTAGTCCTTCTCTTCCTACATGAGTTTTCCTTAACACGGAAATTGCAATGTCAAAATTTCTGCCAAGGTTAGAGAACAACCTGAAGTTTCTGAAATGCTGCGGCTCCTGTAGTAGCAGCCCACTACTGCATCCAACCAGAGATTTCTCCAGCCCTGTGGCTCAGACCTACTTGGTATATGCTTCATCCATTCATCATTTTGGCAACTTGCTTCTGCAGTCAGCCTCAGATTGAGCCCTAATGGACTAATACAAATGTTAAATTCAATGGGAAAGTCATTTGACTTGTGCATAATTAATTGCACGATAAAGGATAATCAGGACTTTAGAGGTTCCCATTATCTAGATACACTGCTGAAAGCTTGCGATCTGCAGACAGCAAGGCACCTGGACTTTAAATCAACCTGCTATCCTACCGCACAGTAACTCCAACAGAAACACCTGGCATCATTTCACTGGAATATAATGCATTGTGAAAAGCCTCCCCTCTACACCAGAAAACAAATTCTAAGAGCCAAGGCCCTGGTGCACAGCACCCAGGGGTGCTGTGCTTGAAGCTGCTCACCTGCTACAAAGTCACCAAAGCCAACAGTAGTCAGAGTGACAACCACAAAGTAGATGGACTCCAAGGCTGTCCATCCCTCGATGTGTTTGAAGATAACCGCAGGAATGGTCACAAAGACAATGCAGCCTGCCAGGATGAAGAGGATGGTAGAGATCACCCGGATCTTTGTCTGACTCACTTGCTTTTTCTAGAAAAAGGAAATAGCAAAAGAAGAATAAAATTTTTGAGTGGATTTCTGTTACCTTGTGAATGGTAGACTGATGATGCTGGTGCCACCTGTTATGTCTCTTTCTGCCTTTTGTGAGCTTATTAGGTGGAATACAACCCTCCCTTCCTGTTAGTAAAAGTCTTGCCTTGGTAATAGTGAACCTCTATGAAAATTGTGATTTCCAGAAAATTGTGATTCCCATTTTCCATGCACTAGCAGTTACTAATTTAGCAGAAAAACAGCCTGGAAGAACTGTCCTGAGCTTCAAAAAGGCTCCATTACACTCCAGTTCAGGTTCAATGTGTAAGAAAAAGTGCACATTCACACCTCCATACATGTGCATGTACACCCACAATGCCTCACCAGCATCACGCATTCAACAAGCAAGACCAAGACTAAAATGAAAACAAACCTTTTTTTTCCTCTAAACCCCTGAGATTTTATATAGAAATAATTCACTCAGGATTTCCAGCTTTCATTCACAAATACAAAGGTTAAGCCTCCTTTTCAAAAATAGATAGCTGTATTATTGGTTTACTCCAGAAATAAAGGATTTATGTCAAATACCAAGCAACCTGAGATAAAATTACCTATGTAAATCCACACTGGAAAGCTCTTGAAGAAGGACTATGTGTGTTACTGGCTTCTATAAGCTAAATAAAAATATGAACAGTGTAATTGCAACATTTTACATTCCTAGATCATAAAAACACTCAATTTATTTAATATAAACTTAGGTTTTGCTTGGAGTAATACTGATGCAAACTGCGATTAACACGACTGACTACAGCAGATTTATTTCAGATTTTCTCTGCTGTAAATAAACTCAAAATTTAATAGAGTTTCAAGAGAAACCTGGAAATCACTAAAAATCTGACCGTGGATTAATTACAGTGGCAGTGTAAATTCTGTATTTATCCTGGAAAAGGAATGTGGAGTTCACTGTAAGTCACATATTTCCAAATTAGTTTTCCAAATCAAGCATCTCCTTTAACCCAGAAATGAGATCTCATTTCAGATTAGGGCATTGCCTAGACAGGAAATAAGGTCTCCGAAGTTATCTTTATAATATACAGAAGGGATATTGCCTGAACTGGTTAATATCTTACAAGCTTGTGAGCAGTACTACCGGGAATCCTTGGACAAAAAGTACTTTGGAGATGCCAAGCACTACTAGTAAAGGAAAGTTATGCATGGTAATCCTTCCTCTAGTCCCCATATAGTAACATTAAAATGCATTTCAATATGTATCAGGATTGCCTTGTCTCATGGTAGAAACAGGAGTGGAAAAAATGGCCTATAAATCAGTACCAAATGTTCAGGACATCCACTTGTTCATGAGTTAAATTTAGCCGAAGGTGGTTGGTTTTTTTTGAGTAAAAATGGTAACGACGTTAATGAGAGGATCTGCAGAAAGGCCTGACTCATGGTTATTGTGCACCTCAGTCACTCACACAAAAGTGGAGCAGCTGAAGGTCTATTTTTTTCTTACTCTTCCCCTCGTACAAATGAAGTCAGAAAGCAATGGTGAATCAGGCACAGCATTTTTAGACCTACTGAAAAGAGCACAAAATCAAGAGTCAGAAGAATTACTTAATGGACAATAACACATGAAATTCAGGATACCATTGAAAAGGGGGTGTGTTTGTGTGTGTGTGTGTGCAGGTCTTTTCACATTCAGATGACATTCACAGTAGACTATAAATACTATGGATCAAAAAATGCTAACACATAAATGTCATTATTCATGGAATATGTACGGTGTAGTAATCATACATTACAAAAAGGTTGGCTTGCATGGGGTTTTTTTTGCACATGGGAGTTGGCCTTGCTGTTTTACTACAAAGAACATCATTTTGTGCCACCCAGGTTCTTAGGAATAAGGAAAAGCAGCCTTTACATTCCAGTTTTGGCACAGCTGTATGCAGATGAGACTAGATTAGCCTAAACCACTGCAGCATTACACTGTACCAAGTCATTATTAAAGGAAATAAATATATATGTAACACTATATATATCTCAACTAAAGGCTGAGAAATCTGAAAAGGTTCATACAAACTTCTCTTTTAAATAGTATATGCAATCTGCAGCCAAGCACTGGCAAATAGCTGCACAACTCCAGCCAGGCTAACACACCCTTTGAGCTCGTTTTCTGGCATAAATACAGAATTTTCTGTAGGTATCAAAATGAAAGAGTAAGAGAGGCCTTTCCTCAGCAAAATTAATTCATCTCATAGCTGCTTAAGTAAAATGAAAATGCTTTTAAAGGAGATGTTTGCTACTCCTTTTTTGTTGTTGTTTTGTTTTACCAACAAGTTCTCTCTGCATTGATGAAGCAGATAATTTGTAAAATGTTCATCAAATATAAATAAATTACTGCCTGCTAATGAGAGAGACTTCAATTTAAATCCACCTAGAGCTAATCTGGAAGAATCATAGAATCATAGAAT